CTGGGGATGCCAGCTCCACCACTTCCCTGGGCAACCTGTTCCAGTGTTTGGTAACCCTTTCAGTGTAGAAGTTTTTCCTAACGTCTATCTTAAACCTCCCCTAGTGTAACATGACATCATTTCCTTTAATCCTATTGCTAGTTACTTGGGAGAAGAGACCAATACCCACCTCACTACGACCTCCCTTCAGGTAGCTGTAGAGAGTGATGAGGTCTCCCTTCAGCCTCCTCATCTCTAAACTAAACAATCTCAGTTCCCTCAGCTGCTCCTTATAAGACTTGTTTTCCAGACCCTTCACCAGCTTCGTTGTCCTTCTCTGGATAAGCTCCAGTACCTTAATGTGCTTGCAGTGAGGTGCCCAACACTGAACAGAGGATTCAAGGTGCGGCCTCACAAGTGCCAAGTACATGGGCACGATCATTTCCCTGGTCCTGCTGGCCACACTATTTCTGATACAAACCAGGATGCTGTTGACCTTCTTGTCCACCTGAGCACACTGCTGGCTCATGTTCAGCCGACTGCCAACCAATGCCTCCAGGTCCTTTTGTGCCTGGCAGCTCTCCAGCCACTTCTCCCGAGACCTGTCGTGCTGCATGGGGTTGTTGTGACTGAAGTGCAGGACCCAGCACTTTTAAAGTAGAAGCACAATTAGCTGTATTTATAGCCCAAGAAGGCATACCAACAATTATTACTTCTTTATTGCTTCCTAAAGAAAACGTTTCCTTGTTTCAGAATGCAAAGGCTTAACCATACTGTTTTCAAGTATTAATATATTTTTCTTCGTTGTTTGTTTGTTTTTAATTATTACAGTTAATTTCTCAGTAGTCTTTTATAGTCACATTTGCTGAGATTGCCACTTGTCTTGGAAAAATCCGAGTCTGAACCACTGGGTTTTGTACAGATCTGTTGAGGTATTTGATAGATGGAAGTTGGAAAGAGATGATTCCTAAAGTAGTATGAATGGGGAAAATACCAACATTGGTTAACTCTGTCAGGAAGTGTCTCTTCTAGTAGCAAGTATTGTATCAGGCATTTTTCATGCTGCTTTCTAGAGTCACATTTCTGTGATTATTAATGATTTATATAGTTGCTCTAATATTACTCTTTGTATTGGACAAGACACGGCATTAATTGGAGAGTTTGTGCTCCTAAATAGTGTAACAGCACTATGAGGGAGGAAGCAGAAGGAACTTTGTGCCCTGAGGAAACGTGACATGCAGGGGTGGGATGATTGCAATAAGCAGTCTCAAACACAGATTGCTGGTTATTTTATTAGATTAACTTAAATTTTAAAATAACTTAGATATCAATCTTGACTCATTGTTTGGAGTATCACTGTACAAAAGTACTGGTGAAAAATGAGAGGAATTTGAATAAACAGGAATAATGAACTCATAAGCCAATTTGTTGTTGTCCATCTTACATAACATCTTTACGTCTAGCAAGAGTAATACAGTGTTCAGACTTGCTTTACTTGTGCCCCCAGAGTGTCTCCAGGAAGGGCCCTTCAGTAGGATTAGGGCCATTTACACCAGGATTACAAACACTGTTCAGTGGAATATGGGAGTCTGTCTTGATATCCATACCTTCATTTTTTCATATAGCAGTTGCTTAAATCTATGCAATAATATTTGCAAGTCTTTCAGAAGTATAATCAAATGTGGAGGCCTTTTTACACCTGAGGTACACTGGAATTAAAGCAGGATTTTGAGGATTAATTAGGACTGCAGTGGTACAGTGAATCTTGCAGATAGTTTAAATGAATGTAGAACAACTTCTTCCCTTCCTCTTCTCCCAACCCCTGTAGAAGATAGAATAGAAAAGTGTGTTCAGTTAAAAAGAAGTAAGTGGTAAAGTTGA